AGACAGGCGTGGTGCCACCGAACTAAATCCCCAGCCCTTGGTTGCTACATTACTAATGCTTAAAACAATACCTGGACTTGGTCCTTAATAAACAATTTCATGGAATAAGGATTAAATGGTGAAACGGTGGATTCATGGATGAATGAATGGCTCAGGGTTTCTAACCTCAAAGAGTTGTGAGGTAGAGGGAGACATAACATGAATGAGTGAATGAGACCTTGTGGCTTGTGTAGGAGGGTGTTGACTTCACGCTGGCGCTAGAGCTGGATTGTTGAAAATCAAATCCCTGTTCCACTTATTAGTTGTGTCTTCCATGGCTGATTATTTGGGCTCTCTGGTTTCTCTTATCTATAAAATTGGGGTAATAATACCTCCTAAGAGGATTATTGTGAGAATCAAAAGAAACGATCCATGTACAGCCCTCAGCGCAACACCTGGCATACAGTGAGTTTGTTAGCATTGGCTCATTTTGCTGGAAGCAAGTAGGGTCTGCAGAGTTCTTCAGTTTTGCTCCCATCCCGGTCTGGCGTTGAGGGGCAAAGGTTAGGAAGCTACCTCCTACCAGAGAGACTGTTCCTGGGGACAACTTTATCTTAGGGTTCCTTTGAGCCGCAAGGGCCCCTGCTCCTCCCTTTCAAACACTATAACATTTCTTCTGCCCAGATAGGCTCTAAGGAATGCAGACATCCCCTCCGGAAAAAACGCTTTCCTGTTTAAATAACAGCATCCAGTTAAATATTGCTAGTGTTCTTCTATTTTCTAGCAATTTTTAGGCTACTGTAAATAATTGCTGAAGGCCGTACTTTGGGAGGATTTTGTAAATCTTTCTTTTACCTTGCGACAACAAAACTATGTCAAAGGTCATTCGGGAATTTGTATTTTAATATAAATTTTTGAAGCTACCATTTACAAAAGGGCACGTGCTCATTGCTAAGACTTCTGATGAGGTTGAAGCTTTGATCTTAAAGCCTATGGAGGTTTTGCAGAAATTGGAGGTGACGTTGCTGACAGATTCGTCAGTAGCTTTCTGAGTCCCATTAATTAAGAACACACACGCATGCCCTTTGTTTACTCCACAGGAGTAAAAGAATTTAATTTGACTTTAATTTTTTATGGGAAACTATGAGTGGATTCAGGGAAGCATCAAAGAAGTATTCTTAATATAATAAAATAGACTCAAGTGAACATCAGAGAGTTCTGGGTTCCAGTGGGGGGTCTAGTTTCACTTCTGTAAAGCATTAATCCTCCTTAATGATAAGAAAGATGAGGGGCAAAGTGCTCATTCCTCCCCTCATCGGTTAAATCCAGGAGGTTCCGGGCTCTTTAACTTTATCTTGCATCCAGAAGTCGCCTTTGTGCTTTTGCATTTTCATACTACTTATACCCTCAAGATCTCAGCTTTAAAAACCTTCACACTTGTTTTTTTCACCTTGATTTTAGATTTTTTTAAGTAATCGCCACTATCTCCAAGCTTCTTATACTCCTAAGCCCTTAAAAATGAAAACCGAGACCGGCTAAGACACTTGAACAAACTGGAGGCCAGATGGTGCTTTTGCAGAGGCAAATCTGGACCTAGCAGTTGGGAGGGCCATTATCATATCTGTTTCCTGAACCCCACTAGACCATTCATTTGTTCACAGCAAATAGCTCTTCTGTGCTTTCCAGGTGCAGGCATCATTTTAAACTCCAACAGTAGTAAACAGCCAGGTGTGGTGGTACACAGCTGTAAGCCTTGCTTTTGGGAGGCTGAGGCAAGAGGGTTGCAAGTTTAAGTCCAGCCTGGTCAGTTTAGGAAGGGCCTGTCTCAAAATAAAAAATAAAAAGGGCTGGAAATGTAGCTGCATGGTAGAACATCCCTGGGCTCAATTCCCAGTACCACAAAAAAAGGGAGAGAGGAAGGGAAGTAGCGAGAGAGTGAGAGAGGTGAGTAATAGAGATAAAAAAACTTGGTTTTTTGAAGTTTGTTCTCATGGACAATTAACACAATAAGTTACTTTTACGGTACATTCAAAGCTATATATAGAAATAAGATAGTGAAGGAAATGATGTGAGTTCTTTTGTGCTTTAAATAGGATGGTCAGGGACGGCCTCACTGATAAAGTCACACTGAGCAGCTCGAGGGAGCTGACCATTGGCGTAGATGGGAGAAGAAGCAGAAGCAAGTGCAGCGTGCAGTGGTGGTGCGGGTGTGGGGGTAAGGCCTGGCCAGGGGTGCAGAGGGCAGGATTGTGAGCGGAATAGGGAGAGTTGCTGGGCAGGTAATTCAGGGTCTGTGATTCTTCGGGTTTTCTCAGATGGGTGTCACGGAGGGTTTTGAATGCACAGCTAGGATCTGATTTACATCGACAGGACCCCTGTGACAGTGTGGCAGGGAGATTAGACTAGTGAAGTTGCTGTTGTGCTGATCTAAGCCAAAGACGGTGGCATTTTGAGTTTAGATGGAAACAGCAGAACTGAGGAGATGTGCTTGAATTCAGGGGTGTGTTGCAAAGGCTGAGCCATGAGGGTTTCCGGAGAGGTTGGGAGGGTGGAGTCAGGAATGCCTGTGAGGTTTGTGCCTGAGCAGCCGGACTCTGTTCTCTGCTCCGTGTGCCTTGTTGTTATGGAGGCTCTTCCATGTCTCCCACTATCAAATGATCAGCCTGGCCCTGTCTGTGAACCTGCAGGCACTCTGGTAGCCAAGACAAAGGCCTTTGTGGTTGCTTGAGACACTGCAGAAGATGCCAGGTGAATTGATGCAGGTGACCTTTGCTCACCAGTGCTTAGTCTTTCTTTTCTTTTCTTTCCTTTTTTTTTTTTTTTTTTTTTTTGGAGGGGGACAGTACTGGGGACTGAACTCAGGACCTTGCCTTGCGAGGCAGGCGTGGCACCACTGAGCTAAATCCTGGCCCTTGTCATTCTTGACACCACTTGAGTGTACATTGTGGCATCACACTCGGGGGTGAGGGGCACAGCAGTAGGTATTGATGCCACCTAAACTTGCATGGAAAAATGCAGAAAAAGAGCAAACAAGCAGGAGAAGCTAAAATAGAGACAAAGAATGGGAAGATCTCAAAACATTTAATAAACTCTTTAAAAATCTCAAAAAATGTGAAGTGTGTGTCCTCCTTGTGAGCATTTCCCCCTTTGTTTCCATCTCTCATTGCTTCCAATCAGAAGATAAAAGGCATGGTATTTCCGGAATATTGAGACAGGAAGGGAGAAAGAGAGGGAGGGACATGGAGGGGGAGGATAATAATACACTGACTAATGTGACAAAAGCAGAGTCCCACCTTTAGTCATTGAGGACTGGCAGGAGAAGAATTTATGGGTCACTCTAGGAGGTACAGTGACTTTCCAAGAGCCTGCCTTTGCACTATACCTGGCCCAATCTTTCCTTCTTCAGCAAACCACAAAGCCTGCCGTGAGAACACGAGGACAGAGTCCACTGTGATGGTGGCCAAGGACAGAGCCAAAAAACCCTACTGTGTTTGTTTAGTAGGAATCTTGTTTCCTATCCCTGCCTGGTTGCCTGGGGTTGAGTAAATCCTAAGTTGTCTGAGCTCTTATCTCAGGAAGAGCAAAGGGTAGCCCAGGAAGCCCTCTAAATATCAGGTGTGGACAGAATGAAGAGGAGCAGAGAGGGCGGAGACCAGTGGAAAATATCTTCAGGAGGCCAAGAAATCCTAATGGCTGATGAACTCTAGAAAGGAGCAGGTGGGGGAGGAGTGCCTAAGGGCACACACTGGGACCTGCCAGGATGGGGTGCTGGGGACACCAGATGGACTGGCAGTCAGTCAGACCAGATGGTGGGCTTTTGTTTTTAAAAGGATTTGTAAATCCTAGGAGAAAAAGGAACCATAAGGGTACTGAGGCCTTTAATCCCATTAGAAGACAAAAGTGTGTTCTTTAAATATGTACGCCTACCAATTATAGAATTTCTCTTATCAAAACCTTGGGCTGACGACCAACTTGTGAAACTCCAGGGACTCTGAATTGTTTGTGAGTAGGAGGAGAAACTGCAGAAATTGCCCCGGCATTATAAATGAATAGAGAGATTCCTCCTTAAGGATTGAATGTGAATTTATTAAGTATACATTCTGAACCAAACAAAACATATTTGCATGAAATGGGCTTGCTTATATATGGAGTTAGAAGAACAGCTAACAGTGAGCTGTTCAATTTACTTGGTAAAGCTTAAATATGTAATAATCAATATTTAAAGATCGAAGTGCCTTTTACTTTTCAAAATGTTGGATCCTGGGCCCTCTCCCTTACTTTCTGTGTCTGGATGGGCCTGGCTCAGCGTGCCCACGGCTGCTCCCCCAGTGGCGGCAGTATGAGAATTCTGGTTGCCAGCCCTTATCACTATCCTGACCTTTATTTGCAGATCCATCATCATTTCCAGGATCCTTCTCCTTCTCCAGCATGACCTCCCTGCAAGGTGACTGACTTCCCAGTGCAGTTAAGAATCACCCCCTTGTGCCCAAATGTGGCCCGAGTCAGCAGTGAGGGCCAGCAGAGCCACACCTCCCTCGGGTGGCTAGAGCATCAGGCAGGAGTGTGGGCTTTGATGTTGCACACAGATCAGGAGGCTTCTGCCTTCTTTGTATGGCATAGTATCTTACACTCCTGCTGAAAGAAAAAGCCTACTGTAATCTAAAATCCTCAAAGACAAAAGAAGAAAAAGAGAAAGTTTTTTTTGGGTGGGGGGTGGAGATTGAACTTGGGACCTTGAGCTTGCAAGGCAGGGGTGGTGCCACTGAGCTAAATCACCAGATGAGAGAAAGCTTTAAGTAGTGTTATTGTTAAATTACTTTTCTCTTTTCTCTTTAGAACATGCAGATATATCTAGTCGGCAACTATCAATAATACTGTAGCACTGTTGATGCCATTTGTAAATAATTCTTTCCTTAATCACTCCCAGGATGTGTACATGTTATTTTGTGGCTGAAGGTGATCAGCACGGCTTTGCAGTGCCACTGACTGTTTTGCTTGCTTGCTTGTTTTTATTTGTTAAGGTACGGAAACCTGACAGGCTCAAGCTCTGAGGAAGATGGAAGCCCAAGTTCGTCAGAGGCCAAGACGGTGATCAGGAAGTGAGTGTGTCTTTCTTCCACACTATTGGCTCAGTCAAGACAATATCAAAACAGATATTAGTGGTTCAGGAGAGTTTCTTATATTCCTTTCCATAATTCATACAAACATGGGCTTTTTTTAAAATTATCTAACAATTGTCATTTATTCACCTAGGAAAAATATATGGGAACCTCGTATTTGCCAGGCATCATGCTAAGGGATATAAAATAAGTGAAAAACAAACAAATAAACAAAAAACCAAATGAGACAAAAGTAAGAGAAACATAAAAGGATAAACATCAAGAAGTGGCCAAGAATGGAACAAGGATGGAGGCTAGGTCACCTGGGGTGCTGCACAGGGACTATGACCTCTGGTGACATGGAGTATTGCCCTCTGAGGTGCTCAGTGCTGTGGGCGTCCAGGCAGAGCAAGTGTGGAGGAGGCCCTGAGCAGCAACAGTGCTGGAGAGGCAGAGTGAGTGGAGCAGCAGGGCTAGGGGATGAGATGTGTGAGGCAGGGGGTGTCCAGAACATGTGCGGACCTGAAGAGCACAGGAGAGGACATTGACTCCGACTCTGAAAAAGGCCAGAAGCACTTAGAAGGCTTTGAGAACAGTGCCATGACCTAATCTATTTAAAGTGCTTGCTCTGGCTTTGGATGGAAAATAGACCGTGGCAGTGCTGATGGGCAGAAGGGTGGTTGGAACCCTTTCTAGGACCCAAGCCAAGGTTGGTGGTGTGGATTTGGGGAGGGGCAGTGGAGGTGCTCTGCGTCTGCAGGTGTCTTGAAGGTTGGCAGGATGTGCTGGAGCTGTGTGGATGGAGAAGCGAGGCCAGGTTGCTCCCCAGGTTGTGGTTTAAGCACCTGTAGAACAGGACCTTGCCTTTACGAGGCAAGAAAGACTAGTAATGAGGAGCAGGTTTGGTGAGAGTGTGTGTGTCAATAAGTCATGGACACGTAAATTTCAAGGTCATTGGATGAGTCTGGATTTCAGGGCGGGTCTGGAGTGAAGTTATTCATTTGTGCATCCTTGGTTTATAGATGGCGTTTGAGGCCGTAGGACTGGCAGTGACCTGGGGACCAAGGGTAGAGAAAGAAAAGAGAAGGACCAGGTACTGAGTCTTGGTGTCCTCCAGCATTTAGAGTTAGGAAAAGAGTTTGGTGGAGGAGAACAGAACAGAGCAGCTGGGGGTGGGGGATGTGGGGAAAGAGAAGAAAGAAGAGGAAGTCGTGTCCCAGAAGACAAGGGAAGTAGGGAGTTTGGGGAGGGCTAGCAGCTGTGTCCAGTGCTGTCTGTAGATCAAGTGAGGAGGGCCCGGGAGGGACTTCCGCTTTGCAACACTGCAGTCTTTGGTGACCATTGACCAGTGCAGCTCTATAGGATGGAGGTGTGGGTCCAGAGAGGACAAGGGGGAAGAAGCAGGGACAGTGGGAAGAATTTTGGGATAAAGGGGAATTAAGAATTAAGAAAGACGGAGAAGGATCTGGGGGCAAAGAAGGTCGTTGTTCTTGTGTGTGTGTGTGTGTGTGTGTGTGTGTGTGTATATGCTTATTAAAAGCGGGAGATTATTTATGCTGATGACACTGATCTAGGACTCATTGAGGAAACCCCCGGGATGCAGAGGTGGGGCTTCTCTAGGAATGATGTTCTTGAGTACATGAGATGTATGCTCTGGTGCCCTAACCTCTGGCTTTAAATATTCATTCTGGGAGGCAAAAGTCAAGGAAATCCTATGGAATTTTTAAGTCCTCAGAGGATTTATTGGTGAACTTTTTTCCTCCTGAGCCAGGGATGCGATGGTCAGGGAATTGAAAGCCTCTGTAACTGCTGAATTAAGCTCCATGTTGTTTTATATTTTATTTTATAATCTTATTGCAGAGACCAGACTCACTAATGTAGATACTTGAATGCCAGGTACAAGGCGTGGCACGAAGAACAGTCACATTCACATTGTTTCTAGAGGGCACAGGGAGGGCCGTGGGATGAGGTGACAATGAAGGGTGGTCAAGACTTGGGTGGTAGAGCCATCCAGGCACAGGGAACTGGTCACTAGATCAGGAAAGTGGGTGTATGTGGAATTCTGGGGAGCAACACAACTGGTATGGTTGACTCGTGGTGGACACGTCGGGTGAGGGGAGTCTGTGGAGCTGAAGCGGAGCTGAGGTTGTATTGTGAAGGACTTCAGTTTCTCATGAGAGCTTGGACTTTCCCTGGTAAGCAGTGACCAGCCATCTGTAAAAAGTTCTTCCAGAAGGGAAACAATCTAATTAAGTAGATGATTCTTTTAGAATGCATTGCACTTTGAGCTCTGCTACTCAGGGTGACTGTGGGCTACAGGAGCTGCATCAGGTAAGAGCCTGTGGGAAATACAGTCTCAAGTTCCAATGGACGTGCTGGACGAGTAGCTGCGTATACAGGATCCTCACGTGACTCCTCAGCCCTTCAGGGTTTGCAGATCATAGACTTTGGGATGTTTTGAAAACAATTTCATCCATGAAAACTCACGAAAATGTTTCTTAATAAAGAGCCTTTTTATAATGGATATGTAATGGGAATTTTTGAGCATATACAGAAGGAAATACTGTAAGAATTGAGTGACCAGCTTGTCCTGTATAACCTGAACCTGTGACCAGATTCAGATCCAGATATAAACATGTTGTCATCCACATGTGTTGGAACAGAGTCAAATCTAGAGCTACTGTTCAGTGAGTCCCCTAAGTACTCAAAGAAGAGGATCAGCGAGAAAGATACACAGGGCTTTCTTTTCTGTTTCCCCGAGGGTGTTTTGAGATTAAATAGGGGAAGTAGCAGTTAAGAAAATTGTGCCCTGGATGTGAAGAGTCATGTTCATTATTTCAGAGTCCCACTGAAATTCATTGTGTACTAGGGACAGACGTGGGTGACACCCCGGGCTAAGCTGTTCCGAAGGGCTTTAGAGTTTTAAGCACATGAAGCTTCAACAAAGAGCTTTACACAGAACTCCCTTAAGGGGTCCATCATATGGGGACAATGGTCCTTTCCCAAAGCCTCACAATGACTTTGTTTTTAACGTTGCCTTTTTTTTTTTTTTTTTTTTTTTTTTTAAATCATGCCTGGTGAGAATATTACACTTCATTTTACAGTGGGTTTTTCTGTCCACAAATTCTGGAATGTTAATACCCCATTTCATGGGTGACCTCTTTCTTTTTCCATTTGCCTTTCTTCTGTCTTTCTCACTGTTTTTCTTTTTCCCACTCGTTTTATTATTTTTTAAGATGACTTCATGATTACCTGTTTGCCCTCTTTTTTTCTGAAGTTGTCCTGAAAATTTCCATTCTGAGACAGTGTCACTGCTTTGTCTTTCTGAGAGGAAACCAGGGAAGCATCATCTTCTATCCACGTGAGTTTCAAACTCCTTGGTCCTCCCAGGCCTCTGGCATCTATCTGACTCGTAGCGAGGATGTAAGACTTCCTGGCAGCTGAACAGATGTGTATGAGGTATGGCTGTATGCCTTTGGCTCTTAACGGGGTGACTTTGTCTCCCAGAGATCATGTGGCAGTGTTTGGAAACATTTTGCTTTTCTTAATTTTGGGGAGGGTTGGGCAGGGGCCAGGGATGCAGCCAAGTGAACTAGAATGAACAACGAAGAGTGATCTGGCCATAGCTGTCAATAGAGTCCGCCTAAGAAGCAAAGTGTTCAGGCTGTAGTCCTCAAGTGAAAATGTATCTATGTACATTTAAGCATGCGTATTTAGAAAATTGGTTGTGCCCTTTCTTTAATTAGTGGTGATTCAGGACCAGCCACTTGGACGGTGAAAGGTCCTGGATGAGGAGCCTGGAGAACACAGATTGTAACTCTCCTCTATTGCTCTGTCATTTACCAGCCATGTGGCCTCAGTTTTGTCACTTTATCTCTCTCTCTGTTTCAGATTCTTCACCTGAAAAATGAGTGCTTGGAACGTATGATCTGTGAAGTTCTTTCAAGTTCAGTCATGTCTATGATAATTTTTTGTTGTTGTTGTTAAAATGAATATCAGAAGCCAGGTGTGGAGGCACGCACCTGTAATCTCAGCACTTGGAAGGCTGAGGCAGGAGGATCACTGCAAATTCAAGGCCAGCCTGGGCTACATAGTGAATTCAAGACCGGCCTAAACTATATTGGCAAGACCCTGTATCAAAAACAAAACAAAACAGTATCAGGAACTGAAACAGAGATGTAGTCCAAATGTTATACTGAAGTTTGAGAAGTATTCTTGACCACTTTTCTTTGTTGAAAATACTGTGTAATTGGCCTTGATAAAATGAGATGAAAAAGTAGATTGGCTGTATTTGCTTATTAGCAGTCATGACATCACGCTGCTCACTGTGGTCATGGTAAAGAGCTGATATTGTCCCATGGGGTAAGACAAGATGTGGCAGAATGCCCATTGTTTTCCTTTGCTATGACTATTCTCTTGTGATTTCAGGTGGGCCACAGACAGCAGGAACCCAGTAACATTCTAAGAAGTAAACATCCTACTTTAGGGCAGCTGCTTTCAGTTTTGCAGACCTGGGTGGACATGGAATGGGGACAGGGAATCCCTATTTATTTTAACCATGAGCAAAAATGCCCAAACATGTTGGTTTTTCGGTTTTTGTAGTAAATCATAGTGACCCTTCCATTTTTGACAGGATCCCCTATCACAAGTTTCTTAGGTGGATCTAATCAACCTATCAGCAGACAAAAGAGCTTTTAAGAAGGGAAATGTGGAAATACAGGTGAAGCTTTCAAGATGAAAGATTGGTTTCTAGTCTCAGGCCACAGCTGACTGGTGCTCTTCATGCATTTAAAAAAAGTATCAGATTGTGCAGAATCGCTCTGCCATGTAGCGTATGTGTAATTCCAGTCCTGAGAATGCCCTGTTGAGGCTTTGGACAGTATCAGAAACCTCTAAGGTGATGTGGCTAAATCAAGAATGCCTTCAGTTGCAATTCAACTACCACATCCTCCTGATATGGAGTCTTTGCCACACAGTGATTTCTGATTTTAGGGCTATCT